GTAAGCAACCCTGGGGACATACTGATTGGAGTGTGGACCTCCTAGGGCCACAGAGACTAGGCTGGGTCCCTCCTGGGGTCACACATTAGGATGTGGAGGCTTTAGGGGTCACCCAGACTGGGATGTGGACATGGCTAAAGTCACACAGAATGGGGTGTGGCCATTCCTAAAGTGTCACAGACTGAGATGTGTTCTCTTAGAGTCTAGGGATTGGTAGGTGGACATTTTTGGTGCCACACAGAGTGGCGTGTGGACAACATTGGCGTCACACAGATGAGTTTGGACACCTCTCAGATCACCTTATTAGGGGTGTGGACACTCCTGGGGTCACATGGACTATGATCTGGTATCTTCTGGACACACTCAATCACAACTTTGGACACACTCAATCACAAATTGTGGGGTCTGGGGCACCTGGGTGGCTCAGTTGGTTGAACGACTGACTTCTGCTCTGCTCATGATTTCCCAGTTCGTGAGTTCAAGCCCCACATCAGGCTCTCTGCTGTCTGTGGAGCCCGCTTCATATCCTCTGTCCCCCTCTCTCTGTGCCCCCCCCCTCTGAAAATAAATAAACTTTAAAAAAACACAAATTCTCTGGAGGCTCTGGAGATGCCTAGGGTCACAAACTAGGACAAGGACATTGCTGAAGATGCATGAACTGGGAGGTAGATGCCACTGTGGCCAAATGGCTGTGGCATGGATACTCCTGGATTATCATAGGCTTGGCCATGGACACTCTTGTGGTCACACAGCTTGTGGTGTGGACTCTATTGGGATCACACTAACTGGAGCAGAGATGTCTCTCGAGACACACAGATGGGGGGTGGGCACCCCTGTGGTCACACAGAATTTTGCGTGGGTACTCCTCTGGTCACACTGAATGGGAGATCACCACCCCTGTGGCCACACATACTGGGATGTGGAGACTTCTTTGGTCACCCAGGTTGGGGGGGGTGTCCTCTCTGGGTCACCTAGACTGGAGTGTGGACCCACCAGTCATTACAGGTTGGTTATCCTGGTGGGAGGAATTTCATATGCCTGTGGTCGTCCTGATGGGAGCACACCTTCACGAGGCCACACAGACTGGGGCGTGCACAACACTGTGCTGGATGCTGTGCCGTTTGGACAACACTGGAGTCAAATACACTCAGGATTGGACATAGCTTCTGTCACAGAAACTTAGGTGTGGACACACTCAGGTCATGGAGACTGGGGCGGGGAGACACTCCTGAAGTGGCTGGACTGGGGCAAAACCACTCCTGGAACATCCCAGGCTGGGCTGCAGACACCTGTGGTGTCCCCCAGGCTGGAGTGTGGACACCTCTGTGATCACAGTTTGACATGAACACACTCATGGTGCCACTGAGACTGCGGTGTGGAAACACCTTTGGTCACAAAAGGCAAAGTTCTTGCCACTTCTGGATTCACGCTGAGTGGGTAGACAGTCCTGGGGTCACACGGGCTGGGCTGTGGAGGTTTCTGTAGTCAAACATTGGGATGTGGACACGACCGGGACTCATCTGTGGTCATAGAGACACGGAAGAGAACATGTTTGTGGTTCCATGTGCTGGGGTGTAGACACCCCCTTGCTCACATTGTTTGGGATGTGGACACTCCTGGAATCATACAGACTGGAGCTTGGCTACTCCCAGAGTCACACAGACTGGGAAATGGACACTCCTGTGGCCACACACACAATATAGTGAATGAATTTGGGGCCACAGAGACTGATGTGTGGAAACGATCCTAGAGTTGTAGACCAGGGAGTGACTCCCCGGTGTCAGAATTTGGGGCGTGGAGACTTGTTTGACCATACAGCCTAGGGTGTAAAAACCCTGGGAGTCACACAGGTAAGAGTATGCCACCCTGGGGACATGAAGACTGGGTGGTGGCTACTCTTGTGGTCACACAGAAAGTTGATCATCCTGGGGTTACACAGACAGGCTATTGTGTGGACATTTCCAGAGAAACAGGCTGGCTGTGGGCCCTCCTGGGGTGACACAGACTGGGGTGTGGACACTTCTGGCATTTCAAGGTCTGGGGAATGATCACTCCTAGGGGACACTGACCGGGAGGTGGAAAGCCCATGGTGACAGGCTGGGGTGTGAACAATTCTACAGTAACACAGATGGGGGTATGTTCCTGAGGACACACACTGGGGTCTGGGGATTCCCGGGATCACATGTGGAGGAACACTCCTGTGGTGACAAAGGCTGACATATGACCATTGGTGAGGTCACTGGGGTGTGGGCACTACCACGGACTGACATACTCGGCAGGGGGCACATCTGTGGTCAAATAGATTGGAGTTTTCACAACTCTGTGGTCACGAGCTCTGGGATCTGGACACTTAGAGGGTGTTTTTGATTACTCCAGGTATCATACGGACTGGAGTGCACATAACCTTGAACTGCGTTGTAGACGTCCCTGGGGAGACAATGACTGAGGTGTGGTGACCCCTGAGGTGCCATAGACTGGGGAACGGATATCCATTGCTGTCACACAGTGCAAGGAACTGACAAACTAGTGGTCAGACTGGGGTGTGTGCCCTTTTGGGGCGACACAGACCGGGTTATGGCAAGCCTAGGTTCACAGACTGGAAAATAAACTATCATCACAGACTGGGGTGGAAATACTCCAGGAGTCAGACTAAGGTAAGGACTCAACTGGGGACACGTGGCATGGGGTACACATACCTCTGTGGATAAACTGGCTTTGGTCACATCGAGGGGCGTGGACAGCCCTGGAGTTGTAAGGCTAGGGTATCCACACTCAGGGCCAGACGGGGTGCTCTTGAAGTCAGAGACCGGGCCTGGGTCAGGCTGGTCCTTCCTGAGCCACACACTCAGGGGTGTGGAAATCGCTGGGTCACACATTCTGGGGTTTGGCCATTGCTCTCATCACAGGAACTTGCGTGTGTATATGTTGGATGTCACACAGATGGGGGTGGACACAACTAGGGACACAGAGCCTGAGATGCAGATACCCACCAGGTCCCAAAGGCTGGTGTGTTTACGCTCCTGGAAATTTAAATTTTTTTAATGTTTATTTATTTTTGAGAGAGACAGAGTGGAAGCAGGGAAGGGGCAGACAGAGAGGGAGACACAGAATCTGAAGCTGGCTCCAGGCTCCGAGCTGTCAGCACAGAGCCCGACGCAGGACTCGAACCCATGAACCAAGAGATTGTGACCTCAGCTGAAGTTGGATGCTTAACCGATTGAGTCACCCAGGTGTCCCTATACTCCTGGATTAGATGGATACTCTTGGGGCGATGGGGATAGGCTTGCACTCCTGGGGCCTCAGATTCTAGTGTAGACATGTTGAATTTGTGCGGTAATGGGTGTGGATACTGCTGTGGTCACATAGGCTGTTGTGAGGACACTTTTGTCATACACTTCTGGGGTCACACTGCTTGGGTGACAAAACTCCTGGGTTAACATTCCATAGTGTGTCCCCCACCCCCGACATCTGGCATTACAGACTCAGTATGGACATCCTTAGGGTCACACAGAAACATCTAGGGTCACCGACTGGGATGTGCGTGGTCCTGAGGCCACTGGACGGAGGCACAGACAGAGACCGTGTTTCTGAAGATACAGGAGTAAAGATACAGGCAGAACCAGGCTCTGGGGAGTTTGTAGCTGGTGAGTTTGTTAGCTCCTGTTTGCTAAATTGTAGAAATTCAGCACTGCAGTCAAGGCTTTCTGACATCTTTTTTTTTTTAATGTTTATTTCTGAGAGAAAGAGAGTGAGCAGGGTAGGAGCAGAGAGGGAGACAGAGGATCCGAAGCAGGCTCTGCACTGACAGCAGACAGCCAGATGTGGGGCTCGAATCCATGAACTGTGAAATCATGACCTCAGCCAAAATCGGATGCTTAAACGACTGAGCCACCCAGGTGCCCCCTTTCTGACATCTTTAATAGGGGATCTTATAACCAAATTATGGAAACAACCTAGGTGTCTGTGGACAGATGAATGGATAAAGAAAGTGTGGTGTATGTATTTATATATACAATGGAATATTATCTAGCCATAAAAAGGAAAGAAATCCTGCCATTTGTGACAACACAGATGGACCTGGAGGGCATTGTGCTAAGTGAAGTAAGTCAGAGAAAGACAAATACTGGGAAGTGAAGATCTCACTTACATGTGGAATCTAAAAAAAACAAACTCAAGGAAACATACAACAAATCAGTGGTCACCAGGGACAGGGGGCAAAATGGGTGAAGGTAGTCAAAAAAGGTACAAACTTGGAGTTATACATATAAGTTCAGGGATATAATGTACTGCATAGTGACTAGAATTATCAATATTGTATATGTGAAAAGTTCTAAGAGAGTAGATCTTAGTAACCATGAGGTGATGCATGTTAACTTACTGTTAGGTATGTATCCAATTCAGCTGTATACTTTAAATTTATATAATGTTGTCAATTATACCTCAATGGGAAAAATATTACTATATATATTCAAATGAAACAATACTGGGATACAGTAATATATTGACTTTTTTATTAGAACACCAAATTATAAGATCTTCTATAATTCAAAGTAGTGATAAACGTGAACAGGATTTCAAGATGCCTGCAAAAACCTCAACATTAAAAAGGAACTGATTTGTATTGGTGGGAAGGTACAGGCACTGCTTTTAGTATTGTGAATTGTTGCCAGCATTTGTATTTGGGGGTAAAGCTACATTTCAGTTATATTAGTGAAATTTCAGTTCAGTATTAGTGAAAATAAAGATGTAATATTTTCCTCCGTTATGTTCACAGCTACCCCTGATTTCTATCCGGGTTAAGAATCCCTGTTTTGGGGGTGAATTCTGGACATAACCAGGATGCCCCTGGAAAGACTGAGAGAGGAGGCAAGACCTGGCTCAAGAATCCCCTCTGCAGCACAGACAGGCGTTCTGTGATGTTTCTTTCCTTGCTGTGTTCATGGTGGTTGTTGCAGGTTCCCACTCGGATGCTCAGGACCCGATGATGAGATTTTTGAAAACAAGTTCATCAATGCCAGTTCTCATTTTCCTGACAGCAAACAGCTTCCGAGTTATATCAGATTGCCAGCTAACTAAAACCAAGGAGAAAGAAAGTTTTAACAAGTACATTTCCCACTTTCTTCTACTGTAATGATCGTTCGTGCAGGTAATAACAGTTTTGTGACTTTCCCCCCATTTCTATTGTGAACCTTAACAAATACACAAATGTTTTATATACGTTCAGTTTAATGAGTGACATGGTGTTATTTTTTTATACCTGTAGAATGTTCATTTTCATTGCTGTGTACTTCTCTGCTGTGAATATACCATGATTTATTTTTTTAATGTTTATTTATTTTTGAAAGAGAGAGACAGAGTGCGAGTGGGGGAGGGGCAGAGAGGGAGACCCAGAATCCGAAGCAGGCTCCAGTCTCCAAGCTGTCAGCACAGAGCCTGATGTGGGGCTCCAACTCACGAACCGCAAGATCATGACCCGAGCTGAAGTCAGCTGCTTAACTGACTGAGCCACCCAGGGGCTCCTGAATATACTGTGATTTAATGATCCATTCTATAGTCAATGGATGTTTGGGCTCTATCTAGTCTGGGGGTATAAATAGTGCCCGGTAGGAATTCCAGTACTTATTTCTCAGGAGTGGAACTAGCACACATGTAGCTTTAGACAATGGCTAACGATTTCCCATGGTGGCCATACCATTTTATGCTGCCACTGGTATATATGAGGGTTTCCATTGTTGCATGTTCTTCCGGACACTTAGTATTGCCAATCATCTTAGTTTTAGCTTGCATTTCCCTGAGAGACAGCTTTTGATGTGTTAGCTATTCTATTTTCTTCAAAAAAATTTTTTTTAATATTTTATTTTTGAGAGAGAGAGAAAGAGAGACAGAAATTTTATGAGAGTGAGCAGGGGAGGGGCAGAGAGAGAGGGAGACACAGAATCCGAAGAAGGCTCCAGGCTCTGAGCTGTCAGCACAGAGCCCCTTGTGGGGCTTATACTTGTGAACTGTGAGATCATGACCTAAGCTGAAGTCAGACGCTTAAGCCACCGAGCCACCCAGGTGCCCCTATAGGAGCTTTTTAATATAGAGGATATTATATATAGGGATGGTAAATAATGTTTTCTCACTGTGATTCACTGTTTCATTTAAAAAAATTTTTTTTAATGTTTTATTATTTATTTTTGAGACAGAGAGAGACAGAGCATGAACGGGGGAGGGTCAGAGAGAGAGGGAGACACAGAATCCGAAGCAGGCTCCAGGCTCTGAGCTGTCAGCACAGAGCCCGACGCGGGG